ATTTATTTATTTTTTTTTTTTTTTTTTTCCAATTAACAATCTCACTATCAATTATGATTTCGATAATTATAAAAGTAAAGAAAAAGATCTGAAATCTTTTATTAAGTCGCTTACGACGGTTCTAACATCGAACGATAGTAATAATAGATTTTACGATGCCATATTATTTCGTATAATTGAATAAAAGGAAAGGAAGAATGAAAAAAAAAAAAAAAAAAAAAAAAGAAAAAAAAAGAAAAAAGAAAGAAAAGAAAAAAAGAAACAAGAAAGAAAGAGAGAGAAAAAAAAACAAAAAAGAAAATAGAGAAAACATATAAACGGAGCGAACGAAAATCCAAGATAAAAAAGAAAAGAGAAAGAAAAAAAAGGAAAAAAAAGAAAAAAGAGAAGAACGAAGAAAGAGGAGGGAAGAAAAAGAGAAGAAAAACAAATTGCGAAGACGTTCGAAGCTTATTTTATTTCTCAAGATAGCGCGGAGAGAGAAAATCTTGGAAAAGAGAGGAGATTGTGGCGGGTGATATAAGGTAAAAGGAAAAAAAAAAAGGAAGAAGATGAAGAAGAAGAAGAAGAAGAAGAAGAAGAAGAAGAAGAAGAAGAAGAAGAAGAAGAAGAAGAAGAAGTAGGAAAAAGAAAGATGGGAGGGAGGGGGGGGTGAAGGAGAACGGAAAAAAAAACAGAGGAAAAAGAAAATAACGAAGAAGGTAAGGGAGAAAAAAAAATATAGAGGGAAAAAAAAGCAGAGAAAAAAATAAAAAGAAAAAAAGAAATACGGGCGAAAGGGGAGATAGGAAAGAAAAAAGGAGAAAGGAGAGAGAGAGAGAGAGAGAGGGAAAATGAGGCTCAAAGAACGATAAGAAATCTTTCGTCGCGAAAAGACATTTCCTTTTGAGATAGCCTCTGGTCAAAAGAGGGGTTTTCCCTCAACTCCCACTCACTCCCACTGCAAGTTTCTCGTGATACTCACTCCCTCCCTTTTCGTCGTCAAGAGAAGAAGGAGGAAGAGAAGGAGGAAGGTTTCGTCAAGGAGGTATCTCAAACGATTCGACTCTGTTTCTCAGTTTCGTCCGTTTACTCGGCTCGAAACTCACTGGTAGCCATGCCAGGACAAACGAAATTAAAACGTCGAGCTAAGTTCTACGTCCGTGAAGGCAAAGATAAAGAAAGGAAGAAATAAAGGGAAAAAAAAAAGAGAGAGAAAAGGACAAAGACAAAGAGCAAGAGGGAAATAGAAATAAAAACAAAGAGAAGAAAGAGAGAGAAGTAGAGAGAGAGAGAGAGAGAGAGAGAGAGAGAGAGAGAGAGAGAGAGAGAGAGAGAGAGAGATAGAGTGAGAGATAGTTAAAGTAAGAAGGAAGGATGCTGACGAAGTAGAATGCTTCGACTTCCAGGTTGCCAAAAAGGACCCTTCTGTATCTTTCCACAAATGTGCTACGAATGCCTTCGGGCGGCAGTCAAGAGACTTGACCTTTGTACCGGGTCTGCATTATTAAGTCCTTTGCTCGGTGCAAAAGGGACCGCGGAAGCACGTGAATGATGCCGCGAGTCGAAAGCACCTGGTAAATGGGATGATGCGAAAGGGGAAGGGTTTGGGGTGGAATGGAAGGAGGAGGAGGAAGTGGTAGTGGTGGTGGTGGTGGTGGTGGTGGTGGTGGTGGGGGTAGTGGTTGGAGCTTGGAAAACGTGGAAAGGGTATATGTACTAGCCAGACTCGTAAAAGGCATCCCGAATGAAATAACTTCCAAATTCTTGTTAACGGATAATTCCTCGAAAGTATGCATCTACCAAAGGGTATCCTTGGTCTGTTCCCTTCATTGCGTTTGTCTTTGACCTTACCTTTCCTCTCCTCTCCTCTCCTCTCCTCTCCTCTTCCCTTCTCTACTCTACTCTACTTTACTCTACTATCCTATTCTCTATGCTATCCTCTTCTTTTCTACTTTTATTCTCATTCCTTTCTTAATTTCGAGTCGAATGATTTCAAGTCGCGTCATCCAACTTTTGACCCATTTTTATATGAATTTTTTTTCTTCTTTCATGAACTTTCTTATTCCTTTCTCTTTTCTTCTTTTCTTTTTCTTTTGCTTCTATCGATTTTAATTATTCCTCGTCATTAACACATTTTTGATTGATATTTACCTGACCATAATAGAGTGATAGAGGAAGGCTAAGCCTGGAATGTGTTGTTTATCAATTTACACGATTTATTTTGATAAAAAAATAATTCATTATTATTTCAGATACCGAATCATTTGATGTGGCTATGCTTCTTCTATCTGATATTTCACTCGTATTTAAATTTGATGGGCGAATTATTACACTTCGCCGATCGAAATTTTTATTGCGATTGGTGGAATTCGAACAATATCGATACGTTTTGGAGAAGTTGGAATATGCTGGTACATAGATGGGCCGTAAGGTGAGTTTATTAATATCATTAATATATCATTTTATAAATTTGAATTATTATCGATCGTGAAATATGGGATAAAAGTAAATATTATCA